AACAAGGACAGTGTCTTTGTTGATGCAGATAGGGTGGGATTTCAAACGTGCTCTTGGACCAGCCTATAGAAATGCTGGCCCCCTTTGGGCTTTAATTTCTACACAYTGGCGGAGCCAGACAGTTTTTATAGGGGTGGCCAGACTGGGACCACTGGTCTCACAGGGGTGACCCAGAAAATTAAATATATTTTTTTGCCTGTGTGGTAATTTGCTGAGGACCTTACCATGTTTCTTGGTCTTTGTCTCATTTACAGTGTAGAATTACATTATGAGAATGATCTATTTGGGCAACACCTATGTGAAGCAGTGTTTGGGGTGGCCAAAGATTTTTTTATGGTGACCATGGAACCATGGACACCCCCTGGCTCCGCCTCTACATTCCGATCAAACGTATATAATTTATCATCAGTTTGGGGTTTACACATTAAACAAACTCCACGGAGTGATWATATGTCTGCTTGAAGTGTAGAGCTTTGTTTTTGTTACATTTTTAATTTACCGTTATTTAACCAGGCAAATCCCWCTGAGATCACAGATCTATTTTGCGAGGCTGGACTGGGCCTGAAGGCAACCTACTGTATATATTTTGTATTTTTATAATGTTTTACTTTTATAAAGAGATTTGTTCTAGAAATTTTGCAACAGCCTTTAAACCCAGTTTAAGAAGCACTTCACTTGAAGCTTACTGAGTCGAGTCTATAACCTAATTACTGAAACAACATTTAYCCTAAGAGGAAAATGAAAAATTTCATGAACATTTTTTTAATCTTACCTGATTTGCAAGGCAGGTCGGGGCAGATAATGGTGGGCTCTAACAACGACAAAAAGAATGAAAAACAATTGGTTWAACAATAAGTAGATCTTCTCTTTTRCACAATTTAAACATGTTGCTCATTAACTTTATCTCCGCTGTGTGAGTTTACCTGGACAGAGCACAGTTTCAATCCTATCAATGAACTCTTCTGCCACAAGATCTGCAAACCGCCTCATTCCCATCACTCTACCGTCCCTCTGACAGGCAATGCTCTGCAGACTCTCGCTCTCCTCATACTGCTCAAACATGTCTCCAATACCAATGGCACTCACATCAACACTGGGATCACTGGTCACATACACCAGAACAGAAAAACACAAGCATTGAGATGATACAAGTTTTCTTTGACCCAAGTTCCGCGCACCAAATCTCCCAACACCGCTCCACACATACTTGCACAGATACGTGAGGAGGGTATCATCATCTCTTGGGTCAAAACGTCCATCAGTAATGACGACCACGGTGACGTTGGCCTTGGCTCTGCGGCTGTCCCTGATCAGGTTGTCGTAGGCATATTTAAGTGCAGATGGAGTCCACGTTCCTCCTGCYATCCACTCTAATCTTTTTACAGCTTCCTGAATAGTAGAGGGTAGAGAACATAAACAAAATGTGCTATTACTAATAATAAGATAATAGAAGTTGCTCATGGTATTTCTACAAAAATAGTATTAGAGTTTATGTAGTAAAGGAGTAAGTTATGTTGAGGAAAACTACCACCGTGGACCCTATATTGCCATTTGTATCATATTTGCCATGCAGGATTCTGTGACCTATATTTTGTCAATGCAATCAATATTTTCCTCAAAAACCTGTTGTATATCATGTGAGACCTGTATTCTGCTCTCTAGTGGATTAACAATGTACTGCACGAAGTGGAACTTTATTTATTTTTTGCCTTTTCAAAATGTCTGCTGACATGAGGTCATCCACACATTTATTTTCTCAGGAAAACTTTTGCTAATTTTGGAGAAGTTATAGTAAGAATAACATCAATATTGTTTGTAATTTTTTTAAATAAATACTTTCTGTGTTGAAACAATGCATAATTACTTAAAAATATTTTTATTAGTACAATTAAACCGTGTTAAAAATTTGTGTATCAAACTTGATACTGCAGGTATATAAGTTGTTCCAGTCCTGAATTGTTATGTGACATTTTAGTAATTTTAGTAATTTAATCAACAGTATTCTTGCCACAATATAACCATACACTATTTTGGATGATTGATTAATTACTGAAATGAAATGCCATTTGAAAACACATGTTGGCTATTTTCAAAGTGGTTCCTTTGAAATTATAATCTCTACGCTGTACTGACTAAATATTTACATGTTAGACGTCAAAGAAAATTGAGGAAGAAGAGAGAAAAAAAGAAAGTATGAAAATGTCATCAATTTGATAATAGATAGCAATTTTTTTTATAAAGTGTAAGGTACATCTGTGCCTGAACAAGGACAGAAACTGTATTTGTGCCTACCACGAAGTGAAATAAATGGCTGTAAAAACTTCATTGTAAAAAAAAAAAAAACAAAGAAGTAAACTTCCTAGAGTGTTCTAAACTTGTTAAAAGTTATGGGCAAAACTGTCTTTTGTTTCTTAATTTAACTTTGTTGTGAGCAAAATGTTACCAAAACAGCCCAGTGTATCAGATTTGATACAAAAAATATATCACAAACAATGTGGCAAAAAAAAAATAATTTTTTTTTGGATTTTGTTTAAAGGCCAATAAACATGTCAATTATAAAAAAAATGTGAATTTTCTGACAATTTTTTAAAGGGTTAGGCATTTTATTAAGACAGCTAATAATAACAGACATTGCTGTTGTTGTTTTCCTTGTAAAATAAAAGCTAATGTTTGTACGCCATGTCTAGTAGTGGTGGCATGGCTAGCATTGGCATTAGCAGGGTACTGGTAGAATAGGCCTTTGTGTTATTGTTGTAATTAAATTAAGAAAAATGTTTCAAAGTTAAAGTGAGAGCACAAAAAGTGGGAAATGCTAAAAAAGTAACTAATAGATTTGAACCATACTGAAACAAGTCAATGATAGAATGACCTACCTTTTAAACTCTGCTTTGTATTTCAGTGGCAGCCTTCAGTACTGAAGTCATTCATTATAAACATATAAATTGTTTCAGCGGACCACACATATTAATACTTGTTGTTTCCAATTTAAGCTAATTGGTTATTTGTTGGAAACTAGTTCAGTTATATTTAGCAATCATATGCATATTAATAATAATACAATGTATATATCTGGCAGGATAAACATGCATGTAGGAAAAAGTCAATAAATCCAGTTATATCAATATAAATTAACATACCATAAAAATATTTGTTTCTGCATGTTTCTAGTTGATTTCAATTCATCAAAAATATCGAAGAAATTATTGGTAACTTTATCATTTCTGCTCAATAGATTTTTATACTAACATAAGTTTACTCTGAAACTTGTTCACTGTGCWTCTGGTGACTTCCTTCTTCCATATGTGAACAAACACCCAATCAGCTTTTATTCATTAAAAAAAACATGTGACCAAACTGACAGAAGTGCTGTCTGCACTGTGCACTAAAAATAAACTTTAGTGTGGTGTACATCTGTGTTTATGTTTCTGTGTTAATGAAACCTTGAAAGCCGTCAATGAGTCAATCTGGGGATCATTGAGCCGGATTGCCTGGAAGGTCCCACTGTGGCTGTACTGAACCACGCCGACGCGTGTGCCTGAGGAAACCAACAGATTTTTTAATACATTTCTCAAGCTGGCAATGATCTTGAAAGTGTTGGCATTGCACTTGGACAACTGAACCTGTCTCTGACTGGGGATCTTTGGCAAACGACCCCAGCCTGTTGATGGTGTTGATGACAAAGTTCTTCTCCAGGGTGAAGTTGGTGAGACCCACAGACTCAGAGCTGTCGATAACAAAGACAATGTCCAGGGCTCCGCAACGTTTCTCACAGTCTGGACATAAAAACACATAAGAATTCAGTCTTGATGCAAAARGTTTTGAAATGACAGTACAGCTGTAACCAAACTCACCACAGCAGCCACAGGTCTCTCTGATGTAGTTCATAACATCACACTCCTGCAATAAAAAAACAAAAATACACAATCACATCCTGTATGCTTCTTAGCAAATGATGCATTTCCTTGTCTCTGTTAACTGTGGTTAAATAAAATGTTCTCACAGTGAGACCAGGATCTCCCTCTGGACCAGGATCTCCCTGCAGAGAAGGAGAATAAAGTCAGATTCTGCCACTTTGCTGTTGTGTTCATCTCTGTAGGCTGATTTTATATAMTTTTTGTAAACATACGTCACGACCAGACTCTCCTCTTGGTCCTCTCAGTCCAGGCTCCCCCTGGGGACCTGGCTCCCCCTGTTCAAAGTAAAATAAATCAATCATTTCTAATTTTAAATATGGCAATAAGTTTAACATTATACCTGAAATGACTTACTGGATCTCCTGGAGTTCCTTTATTTCCAGGATCCCCCTTTTGTCCGCAGTCTCCTCTGCTTCCGCGAGCTCCTCGGGTGCCCTTTTCTCCTTTGTTACCCTGTAGATGAACAAGATTTGTCAACTAAGCYTGTCACATGAGTTAGAAAATTTAGATTAACTTATGCTTTTTACCGTTGGGCCTCTCGATCCAGGGTAACTGAAGCCAGGTCTTCCTGTGTCTCCCTGAGGAGATACACACAGTCGAGATGAAGAACTGTTGCTACAGAACTGAAACAGGCTGAGGATGATGAGACCATAAACACACGGGTACTAACTTTTGGTCCAGGCAATCCAGGTTCTCCTCTTGGTCCGGAATCTCCAGGGTCACCTCTTGAACCCTAAAGTTCAAACAACATTAAAGCAACAGCTATCTTTAAGGGACATCCTTTGGTATATTTAACAAATGTTGACCTACGTTTCTTCCAGGCTCCCCTGGTGATCCTGGTGGTCCCCTCGGTCCTGGCAGGCCAGCATCGCCCTGTTCGAAATGTACAAAAATTAGCAAGCATGGCAATATGACAGTACAASACATCTTATATATAACAGTATAAATACAGTTACAGAGTATAGGTTGTCTATTTAATGTTATTTTTCAGACAAGATACTAGTTCATGAAATGAAATAGTTATTTCTACCTTTGGTCCTTTTCCTCCTTGTTCTCCCACCAAACCTCTTTGGCCCTCTGGACCCGATTCACCCTGAAACACAATTWTATCAGTGTTTAACCTCCAAGTGTCTTAATACTGAAAATTAAGCAGACAAATATAAATTGAGCTAAACTCCACTTCATTTGCACCACTGACTATCTGAATTTATACCTTTTCTCCTTTATCACCAGGCAACCCTTGTGCTCCTTTTGGCCCATAGTCTCCTCTTCTTCCCTAAAAAAAATAACAGTTATTGATGCCATCGGGCAGCATAAACACAAAAGACGTGGGAAAATAATCTGGTATCAAGTAAATTAGATAGTCTTACTTCCTCGCCTGTCTGTCCCGCCAGTCCAGGTTGGCCCTAATAATCAACACAAGCAGAAAAACTCAGTGCAGGAGAGTGGCTTTAGGGATTTATTTATTTAGCTATCCAAAGGATCTTACTATGCTTCCTTTTTCTCCAGGAAGGCCAGGGGATCCAGGACTTCCACGCTCTCCCTACACACAAAATATCAAAGTTCAGCAGTTTACTTCCAATACGGACCATTTTAAGAAAGACTTACAGCCGGTTTCACTCAGAAAATGAGACATTTCCTTGTCTCTGTTTTCTGTTTTACCTTTGGTCCAGCCTCTCCAGGCTCGCCAGGGGAACCCGGTCTTCCATGACGTCCAGGATCACCCTAGAGAAATTGAAGCAGTGCTTACCAATGGGCCAGACAGATGATGGATTTGGTTTTACCAGAAAGAAGTGTAGGGATTGTATACCTTCTCTCCATCAGTTCCAGGAGGACCACGTTCACCTACATCTCCAGGATGACCGTCAGGACCCTACAAATCGTTTAAATCAAATTATCAACAGTCCACAATACATTAGAGATGACTAAATCACTGGGGTCTTACTTTGTCGCCTGGGTCTCCTTTGCAGCCTGGAGCACCAATTCGACCAATTTTACCCTGAAAGTGCAATTTTATGAAAATAACTTAAACTTGAAAAAGAATACTTGAGTTCATTTTCAAAACATTTTTTCCATAAAGTGCAAAATAAAAGGCTTATTCTCAAACTTTGCCTTCTGTCCATCTGTTCCATCGCGACCTGGAATACCAGCCACACCCTAATAACAATAAATGAGGACAGTTAGGAAAAAAAAACAAAAACAATTGTTGCCCATTATGAATAAACAACAAAAGAGAATTTATTTAAAAAACCCACCTTTGTCCCTTGAGTTCCAATTTCTCCCTGTGTTTGGACAGAATATTTATTATTCACCAATAATGTCAGCACTTTGTTTTAAATCATTGATTTACAACCTCAAACAACAGAGGATGTTTGAATCCGCACAGAACTCAGCTGAAGACTTACCTTCTCGCCCTTTTGACCTGGTTCACCCTACAGATGGGCAAAAAAGGGAAAAGCAAATATTAAATCGTAGTCTCAAACAGTCCTGATTTTTGGGCAACAGATCAGGAAAAGCATCTTACTTTGATACCAGGCTGACCGATGGGACCTTCAATACCAGGGTCTCCTGGACGACCTCTTGCTCCTTTTAGTCCTGCTTCGCCGTTGTCTCCTTTAGCTCCCTGAAGTCGAGGGGTTCAAAGGAGACATCAGTGATGTTGAAAGTGAACAGTGTGGGCTGTAAATGTTTGTGTGTAAAACTCACTTTCTGTCCTCTGTGGCCTTTTGGACCAGGAGGCCCGACAGTCTCCAGACAGGACACTTTGTGACACTAGTTATGTTGGTCATAAAGAGAAACCAGTTAACTGATCTGCTTCCGATATATTTGGTTTAGTCTAATTATATTTCTTATAACAGTCCAGTCTTACCTCTACAAAGGCTAAATGTTTCTGTAAAGACAAAAGAAACAAAGCATCAGCAGACAGGCCACCATCTGTGTTCTATCTGTGAGTGCACGTTTGAGTTACCATTGTCTTGATGATGCGATCTATGGTTTCAGTGTGTATAATGGGTCTGCCCTGGCTCAGATCCACAGCCATGTAGTCGTCCCTGAAGACCGAAGCTGGCGAGTTGGCGATCTCCCTCAGCCCAGTCTCTTCAATGTTTGCCGATGCAGCCACAACAAATATACGGATGCCCTTATCGCGAGCCTCCTCTGCTGACATCTTAATGCCACCACATGGGTTTCCAGTCACATGGCCGTCTGTGATGACCACAGCAAAGTGGAGGCTTGAATTGCGTGAGGATGTTGGCAGCATCTCCTTGGTCATGGCTTTGATTGCGCAATCGATGTGGGTGCCCTTTCCCAGGTAATTGATCCTAAGGAGACTCTGGAAGAATGCACAGGTTGATTGGTGATCACTATTTCTTTGCCTATTTAAATTTGTAGAAGGACTGCAATTTGAAAATACTTTTAGCATTTTGCTGTTAGTGTACTTCAACATGACTCCTGTGAATAATGTCTATACACACAACTTGATTGGCTCATGAGTCAGTTTACACACATCTCCTGAAGYTGTTAGAAATTCTACAGCCAAAGGAAGTAAATGTGATATACTCACAGTGATGAAATTAGACTTGGGTCCAATGGAGCTGATAATTTCTTGTTTCTGGGAGAAGTGTAGCCCACCGACATTCCAGTTGATCCGTACAACACCCCGGAGTTCTTCATCCGATAAACGGTCCACAAACTGCCGAGTGAATTGCTGCAAAGAGAAGATACAACACATACTTTACAGCTAAAATACCCAGAGCTGACAGCCGATCTTTAGAAATAAAGATCTGTTCATTTAAAGCTGCTGACTTTTTATATTTTTTTGCTGTTGTCATACTGTTCAGTAAACACATTATTTTAATCACATTGATCTAACTAACACCTGGGAGAGACGCTGTGAGGACTGAGCCATCTGTCGGTGCTTTCAGACCGGGAAGGAGCAGCATGGAGGAGCTGCGTTTATGTCAGAATCCCTGATACACCGCGCCCTGCATTGTCAAATATTCTGTTCAGTTCTGCTCACAGGTGTAGGTATAAGTGTGTCGCCACGGCTCAGCTGTGGACAGATTATCATCACAGTCGACTGGACTGTTTTAAATTTTATTTTATTTTATTTTTTGGCGCAGGCTGATTGTTGGTCGCAGCATAATCAGAAGGAAAGGAGGACGGATGAACTTATTTCTAGCAGCAGAGTGGGTTGGAAATAGATATTTAATGTTATTAATTATGTTTTTTAACATCCTGAATTGCTTATGTCTGTGACAGATTTCACTACTTGCTGACTGACTTGAACATTCCTTGACTGTAACTAATGACGCCTATGGTCTGCGACCGTTACAGCTTGATGTTATAACTTGTTAAATAACTAATAACATTTGATGCTGTTAAAATTGTGCTGTTTCTGGAAAATGTTTTTTTTAATGACTGTGCAGGTAGTCAGCAGGTAGTGAAATTCGTTGTCACAGACGTAAACAATTCAGGTCAAGTCATTTAATCATCTGAAATTAAAACGTGTTAAATCTCATAAACCATAGCAAGACAAATTAAAATTTCAGCTGCACAAAACCGCACAAAAGAAACACTAACCACTCAGAGTGGATCTTGTATGTGGATGGGGTGTCATCTTCAATCAGCTGAGCGAGCCAAGAATCTGAGCAATCGAACGAGTTGCGTGCGAGGATAAAACGTTCATACTGGGTTGGCCTTGGGTGTGCACTTTCATTTGGTCTCACTCGCAACTCGTTTGGTTGCTCAGACTCTTGGTTGGTCGATCTCGCTCGCATTTTAAATGTASGTGCATACTCTCATTCAGTCGTGCGCACTCTCAGTCGGTCTCGCGCACTGTTTCCTCCGATCGCTCTTGACTTTTTTTTTTTTTGTAATTTTAAGTCCACTTTGGGGCTTCGTAGGTGTTGTTATCTCTGCAGCCAACAGTTCGCCTGCATGTGAGTAATACGCATTTTTCATGAAAACTATGGATTTTTGAGGTTCATTATACAGGTAAACCTCCGAAGGGGGCAGTTCCCCTGGATTGGCAGACCGTGGTGGTGGTTCCCCTATTTAAAAAGGGGGACCGCAGGGTGTGTTCCAACCAAAGGGGGATCAGACTGTGGAGAGGAGGGTCCGTTGGATAGTCGAATCTCAGATTCAGGAAGAGCAGTGTGGTTTTCATCCTGGTCGTGGAACAGTGGACCAGCTCTACACCCTCAGCAGGGTCCTGGAGGGTGCATGGGAGTTTGCTGAACCGTCTACAAGTATTTTGTGGACTTGGAGAAGGTGTTCGACCMTGTCCCTCGAGGACTCCTGTGGGGGGTACTCCGGGACTACTGCGTATTAAGCCTTTTGATACGGGCTGRTAGGTTCCTGTATGACCGGTGCCAGAGCTTGGTCCGCATTGCCGGTAGTAAGTCGGACTCATTTCCGGTGAGAGCTGGACTCCGCCAAGGTTGCCCTTTGTCACTGATTCTGTTCATAACTTTTATGGACACTATTTGTAGGCGCAGCCAAGGTGTTGAGGGGATCCTTTTTGGTGACCTTAGGATCACATCTCTGCTTTTTGCGGATGATGTGGTCCTGTTCGCTTCATCAGATCGTGATCTCCAGCTCTCACTGGAGCGGTTCGCAGTCGAGTGTGAAGCGGCCAGAACGAGGATCAGTGTCTCCAAATCCAAGACCATGGTCTTGAGCCAGAAAAGGGTAGCGTGCCGCCTCCTTGTCAGGGAATAGGTCATGCCTCAAGTGGACGAGTTTAAGTATCTCAGGCATGGGATAAAATTTGTGCCAGCAGGAAKTGAATTTGGATAGCTCAGATTGAATCTGAATGTGCACAATTTGAAATTCAATGCATTGATTTGAAAATGATTTGTAGAAGGAATTAAACCATTCAACCCCAGAATTCTGGATCTGAGTGAGGTTTATTGTCACTCAAGCTGACAGGAAACCAACACTACCGGAAAACCAGGAAGTTCATGTATTTATACACCTTCTTCAATGCCTGCGTTCGCCCCCTACTGACCTACGGCTGAATCACAGGCATTCAGACAAAATCCTCAGCTAATGTCATCCCAACGTTTAAATATGTGTTGTCACATATTTCGGACATGTAACTGAACCTATTTAAATCAAAACATAATAGATTAAACACTGTCAACATTACAAAAAGGAAAACCTAAGAAAATAGTTTTGTGCTTTTAATATCAGTACTAACCTCTACTATCTTTAAATTTCTTCAGGATAAATACAGCAATATTATTAAATTTTAACATTCAAGCTGCTGTGAAAAAAAAAACACCTTGTAAATAAAAGACAAACCTTGATGCTTTCCACCAGTGCTCCAGGAGGCGACTCCTGCAGSGCGATGGTTTCTGACGTGTCAATGGTGAAGTACACGTCTATGGGACATTCTCGCGTCTCTGAAAGACCCTGTTTCTCTGAAACACACCCACAAGCATGCTTCAGGGTTGCTGGCAAAATTAAAAGTTGTACTGAACATGAAATTGCATTCTGGGCACAGTTTTTGAGTTTGTGTGAGGCACTCACTGCTGCACTCTGCTTTCTGTGCGTGAGTCAGGGCTCCAAAAAGAAGGCAGAGAACGACAGCCTCTAACCCCAGCATCTTCTTCTCCTTCTTTTCTCCTGTTTGACACAGTCAGGACACACTTGAGCTACTGTTGTTTGGCTTCCTTTTACTCTTAAAATATTTGTGCTGATAGCTTAAAATAAGTAAATGGATAAAATTAAAATCTAAAAAGGCCAAAAAGGTAAAGACTTTAAAGCGTAAATATTGAAACAATAAGTTTAAACTACCAAAATAACAGTTTTAAAATAATAAATGGTGAACGGACTGTACATATTAAGTGCCTTTCTATCCAACCCCATTCACACTGCAGTCTGCTAGATTTCTCCACAAAGTTAATCTAGATAGCTTATTCTAGAGGTGAATCAGTGCTTAAACCACATTAATAAACTAATGGACTCATCAGAGGCAGTGGGGGTTCAGTGTCTTGCCCATGGACACTTCAACATATGACTGAATAACAGTAATTGAACCACCAACTCGCTCATTAGAGGACAACTCCCCAAACCCCTCAGCCACCCTGTAAATATTACAGTTTAACTTTGGACATTTTCACCTATAAACACATGATAATTCATTGCTTTTTATAAAATGTATTGTATGTTACTATATATCATGTATGATAAAAAAAAAAACACTAAATATGCATCGTTCACCAGTCTACCACATAATTTGGAATAAATGATGGAAATCAGCAAAGTTGGGTTTGTTGCCAACAATTACGAATTTTTTACATTCAGACAAGTACACTTCAGACAGTCTTGGTATGCGATGACTTGGGTTTGTTTATTAATCCACAGCTGTAAACAGAGTTTGTGGGAAAGCAACAGAATCAGGGACGGTTAAGAACAAACAGGTAAAATCATTCCTCTTCTGAGCTGAACTGGAGACTAAATGCTGTACGGATGAGTCGACAGAAGAGTCATTTTAAAGGAAGAAATTGAGAGATGGAGACCATTAAAGCAAACAATGGGCTAAGATCATATTAATATAATGTGCTTTGCCAAGACTTCTGTCAAATTTAGTTTTAAACAAGGGCCAACTTCTGTTTTCTAATGCAATTTTTATGAAAACACTGATTTGTTTAAGTTATATTAACCTTAGAAGCATAAAAATGTCACTAAAACATGCAAAATTGCCCATTTTGACAGCAATTATGTCTTTAAGGGTTTAAATGAGCTGATTTTATGAACCTTTGGTGTACTTTACTCAATTGGAGTGCTTCAGTGTCACAGCAAATAAATGTTTGCTGCAGGAAGTCTTGATGCTCTAATATTTATGTTCAGTGTGTATGATCAGATAGGAAAGTTTATATGTCCAGAATTCACTTTTCAGCAACGTTTATTTCAATCAAGTTGCTATTCAAATGAGCACAAAGCAGTCTGCACACTGGGCAGCATGGTGGTGCAGCCACACAGCTCAAAGGTTCTAGAAAGTGGTCTGCTGAGGGAAACCTGTATAGAGCCTGAAGCCTGTATTATTCCTGTTCCTATGGCATCTTTGGAAAACCATTTGTGTAATTATTCAAGATCCCGAAAATCAATTTCATCATAGATAACAACTATGCTGCAGTAGATGCACACATGTGCAGCCTTGTGTGCACTAGTCTGCATATTAGTGCACATGTTGAGCAAACACTGTCAACACTGTTTAGCCAACTAAACTTTTGTCCAACTGGTTGGGACCTTATAGCAATGTTATAATGATAAGTGTCCCTGTTTTCTGTCCTTGTTTGGAAGTGAAGACAGCAGAAGCTGTTTTACAGAAGCTGTCATGTTGTGTTTTTGGAACCAGCTCCGTGCTAGAGATGTAGTTTTAAATCCTGCACTCTATCACAGTGTCACATGAGCTTTGTTTTAACTATGAAATAACACATTCCAGTGAAACATGTTAGACAAAAATATTTGAACATACAGCAGCAAGGTAGGAAATGTGAATCAACAAAAATCGACATTTGTTTTCCCTTTGTTACCAAAGGAAATGTCCTGCTCATTGACCTTTTTACAGTTAATAATGCTCAAAGTCAGTATATTAAAATGCATTGTGGTCTCAATATATTCATCCTAACTTCTGGTAAACTGAAATACACTAAGTTCAACAGTGTTCATATGTTTCAGTTGTGTTCTGCAGTCATTCTAACATCTGCCAACACTGCACATTTTGCTATATCAATGTAAAATGCTAATAAAACTAATTTAAAGGGACGTTTGTATATAAAAGTCAATAAAAAGCAGGGACCTATGAATATATTTGGGAGGGCGTGGTGCCTGATTTTACCAATGCACATTAGGAACTGTAGAAAGGTCAATTTACATGGAGGAGCAGGGCTTAAAATTTGAACCAGAACCTGTTATGGCTTCAATCTGAAAGGATGTTGAAATGGTTCCTTCCTTCCTTCCTTCCTTCCTTCCTTCCTTCCTTCCTTCCTTCCTTCCTTCCTTCCT